CTCAGAGGTGTTTACAAGTGATTTCAAAGGGTTTTTAGGAAGGAGACAGAGCTGATGACTTTGTCGGTCAAACAGCCTCCTGCTCTAAAAGAATCCAACAAGCCGTTGAAGAATAATAGCAGAGACTTTCTGGTCTTTGAATTCATACAGCAACTTTCATCTCTGAAGCTCAAGGCTCCTTCCAGACATTATCTCATTCTTCTTCCCAGAACACTAGTAGAGAGTAATTGCAAGTATTGTGCCCATTTTGCTGACAGAAACATTAAGCCTCAAAGGCAGTAAGAGATTTTCTCAGCATCAGAAAAATCAACAACCTTATTCTGCAGAACCAGGAGAACTAGAATCAAAACTTAGCCCTTTCAAATCTCATCCTAAGCCATAGAAGTAATTGTCTAGAAATGAGACTGAAACAAGGGGGAAAGCAGGACTGGCATTTGTTGAAGATGTGTTGTGTCAAATGTCTCATATAAAAGCTATCACGGGTCCTTGGCATCTATCCTGTGAAGTAGAAATTGTTATCCTCATTTTATAGACAGGGAGACTGAAGCTAAGGAAGGTTCAGTAAGAAGGTACTCAAAGTGCTAAATAGCAAAGATTTGACCACAGATATTCATAACATCAAAGCCAGCATCATTGACAAAACTGCAGAAAGTGCCTAGTATTTGCAGAAGACTGTGCTAGGCCCAATGAGTGTACAGTGAAGCACAAGATGAAGATGTAGCAAGAACTTATTATGCACCAGGCATCAGAGATCTGAAGATAACTAGAATATGCCCTCCAGGAGTCAACACTCTATTTGAACAGAGAAGAGGAGCTTATGGAGCATATAGAGAATAATCCAGCACCCACTCTCTTACTGAGCACTTCCTATGTGCCAGGCACTGTGTTCTTCATGCTAGCAATTCAACAGGGAACAAAAGCACAGTTCCTGCCTTCGTGTAGCTCATTATGAATGACTGTCAATGTATTCCAAGGGATGCTGCATACCCAATGATTCCGGGCAGGCACAAGAGAAAAGGGAGGACTTTGACTTTGTGTACTTTATCTTAAAATTCATGCAAATTTAACATCCTACTCTGTAATATATGGAGGTTCATTTTAACATTACTATATATTTCCTAATAATCAACAGTTAAATTGTTTGCCTTTTTTTTTTCTTTACCAACTTTTCCAAAACAGTTGAAACTTCAGGATGCCGTTCGCATTGACTCTGGAGCATAAAATAACTCCTAACAAACTAAAGCTATGCCATCAGGATGCACAAGCCTGATTTAAAAGCACTGGCCAATAGGTACAGTCCAATTCTGTCGACACCACTTTGATTCAATATCGTTAGTGTCTACTATGTGCTATTATGCACAATGTTAAGTGCTGGGGGAAAAACAAAACAAAACAAAAACAACCAAAACCAAAAACTGGGATAACAAAGAAGAAAATCTCAAATTATTTCTATTCAATGAAGTTAGAGCTATGGCCAAAACAGCTACAGGGGCCAAGAGGAGATACCCAATCCAGATTAAAAAGCTCCAGGTTCCTTTCATATTTGCACATTAAAAGCACACAATAAATGTTTTTGGCTGATAGAGTCACATCAGTTTTGTCTTAATCTTATAAAATATGTATTCCTTGCAAAGCACATAATCATACCCAGTCTTGCAGCTCCATGTAGAGGGCACAGACAGTGGAGGGCTGTTTCTGGACCCAGGAGTCTAATTAACTCTTTCTCATCAAGCCAGCCGAGTTGGCCCTCTAGCCTCCTACCCTACCCCCACCTTGGATGTGCCCTTTGGCAGCATTTACAGGAGTGGTCTCCCTCTCATTCCCCAAGCAAAGAAAGTTTCTCACATGGTGATCTATGGATGTGTCTGCTCGTGACTTCTCTGGAAGTTAATTCTATTACCTTCTGGGTTGGATTGACAACGGCCAAATGATTTCCTCACACCTCTGGGACACACCTCCTGGCAGTGCCTCTTTCTACACTGCTGCAACGTGACAAATTTAAAAATGAATCATTGGCCGGGCGCGGTGGCTCATGCCTGTAATCCCAGCACTTTGTGAGGCCGAGGCAGGTGAATCACGACGTCAGGAGATCAAGACCATCCTGGCTAACATGGTGAAACCCTGTCTCTATTAAAAATACAAAAAATTAGCCGGGTGTCGTGGCGGGCCCCTGTAGTCCCAGTTACTAGGGAGGCTGAGGCTGGAGAATGGTGTGAACCGGGAGGTGGAGCTTGCAGTGAGCCAAGATTGCGCCACTACACTCCAGCCTGGGCAACAGAGCAAGACTCCGTCTCAAAAAAAAAGAAAAAAAAATGAATCATTGAATTCTATCTACACCCAAATCTTTTATTTTCCCCTCCTAGTTATGAACTAGCCCAGAAACCTCAGTCTTACCACACTTTCTATTGTCAGTATATTCAGATTCAACTAACATTTACTGAGAACCCACTGTGTGTCTCTCATGTTTATAAATATTATTTAATCGTATGTCCTGATTAGCCCTGGGAGTTAAATAAGTGTTGCAATTTTCAAGATGGGTTCTCTGAGTCTTAAAAGAATAAGTTACTAAGCCAAGTCTCCAAACTCCAATTCTACTAGTTTTCCCTCTCAACAGTGTTGCCTAAACCTTTGGATGGATAGATGAATGGATGGATAAAGAGACAGAGAAGGAAAGAGAAAAGAGAAAGGCATACATATGTGTGTGTGTGTGTGTGTGTATGTGTATATATATATATATATATATATATTTCTTCATTCCAGGGGCCCACCCTGAAACTACTGAATCACAGTCTCTAGAGATTCTCAGGCAACTAGCCCAGCTATTTTTGCCAAGTGGAATTTATGAGCCACCGCAAGAGACCACATGCAGCTTCATCTAAAACAAATTATTTTTAAGCATGCAGAGTGAGCAGTGATATGAGGAGTGCACAGGAGTGCTTTCGCTTAAAACTCTTTTTCCCTGGTCTCCATGAGTCTCCTTTGCAAAGTCAGGTATTACAAGATTCTAGAACACATATTACCTGCCACTGACATTTTAGTTTGTTCAGCAAACATTCATTTGTTGAGTTGCATGCCAGACACTATAGTAGATGATTGGACAACTAAAGGGAAATGAACAGTTCTGTCTCTACGTAAAAATAATAAAGATGATGATGATGAGACGGGACTTCAATTGAGGAAGTGCCATTGGGGAAGTATGTAAATGGTGCTATGGAAAAAAAGCAACAGGAACCCCTTGATAGAAAAAAAAATACTGGAGGGGTGGGGATTTCTGCCTGTGTGATTCAGCTTGGGGAATGGGAAAATCTGGGAGGAAAATACATTTAAGTAAAAGCAGAGACTTTGCAAAATTTGTTGTGTTGACTTTTCCTCATGCTGCTTCCCCTGGCATCGAAGTCATTGGCTGGATAGAAGAGACTCCACAAGAACTGCAGTGAATCCGATGTGTTGGTTTTGTTTTGACACATGGAATTCTTAGGGATTTGATGGTTTTTTCCCCCCAGCCTTCTCCATCAAGGTTGTTTTCAACCAGTCCTGGTTGGACTGATTGACTCATCCTCAGATATCATAGTTTTCCCACTACAAAAGCATGGAACTGATGCTGATACACCCACTCCTTATTCCCAGAGGGCTAGGGTGAGTCCTTGCAGGGGAGAGTTGCTGCGGATGGCACCTGGCAGAAATGGACCATCTGTCTTTCCTCTACAATTATGGTCCCTGCCATTGTGAAGGAAACATTTACCTCCCCCTCACCCTCAGGCCCCCTCTTCCTGCACTTAGAGTCTCATTGCCCGTCCCCACCCTCCGACAAGTAGCTGGTGCTTTCTCCTTGACCCCTGACTCACTGTGGGGAGACCTCTGCCTCAAGAAACATCTTATCATCTCACTCTCTAGTTCCAGCTGTCCCTTTGCCTCCACGCAGAGTTCCTTGCTCTCTCCTTCGGTGTTTCTCTGAGGGCTCACTCAGACCACTCCACTCCACCTGCCACCAGTGGTCTCATACTAAACTATAAATCTGGCCATCCCCCTCTCCTGTTCAGTATCTTCCATCCCCTTCCCATGTCTGGCACATGATGATGGCCTCAACCCCCAGCTGACTCTTGGACCACGTACCATCCATGCTTTTCCCGTTGAGCTACTGTGGAAAGCCCTTGCTTGCTTCTAAGTGCTCCATGGTATGGTTCGGTTTTGTTTTCTGTCATGTCATTCTCTCTGCCTGGGACAGGATTTCTCCCTACCAACACTGGGAGATCTGCTGACCCTATAGTCAATGATTGTGTCTGCCTTGTCCCTAGCACCCAGATCAACACTTAGCAAACAAACAAGTGCTCAAGAATGTATGTTAAATGAGTGAGAAAGCTACCTAGCAAGAGAGTGAAAGAGAATGAATGAATCCTTGGAGAGCACAGGCCTTCCCCATGAGGCCTCTGGAAGCCTCAGTGAATGCCATACTCCTTCCTCTGTGCTAACAGCATGTGAAATACTCCTCTGCCGTCACCCTTATCTCTCTTACGATGTGGAATCTCAGGCTCCCTTCTTGGGCACATAGTTCATGTCACATTTTGTATCAGCAGCACATAATAGCCATGCAATACATAATCAACTATTTAGTTTTACAAATCCATTTGACCATCCACGTTCCCCACATCTCCTCGCCTCTTTCTACAGCATTTTCTGACTCCTCACTTTTCATTCTCTCTCTCTTACCTTCAGAAAATTCCAGACCTCGCTCCTTTACTCTAGTATTACTGCCTGAAATGCCCTCTCCTGCATCCTTTCCTATGTGTATTTAAATCCTAAACTCCTCACAGCTAACAAAAAACCATCCTCCCAAGCCTCCCCAGCCTTCAAGAACATTCTTCCTGTGGCTCCCAAGTCACACACATGTCTTTTTGACAATAATAATAAAAACAATCATTTTTCAGTGCCAGAATGAATCTCAGGTGCTTTATGTATTACATAAATTCAGACATATCTCTTTTTATTGTACTTCTCTTTAGTGTGCTTTGAAGAGATACTGCATTTTTTTACAAACTGAAGATTTGTGGTAACCCTCCATCTAGGAAATCTGTCAGTGCCAATTTTCCAACAGTGTGGGCTTATTTCATTTCGCTGTGTCACATTTTGTTAATTCTTCGGTAAGTTCAAGTTTGTTGTTATTATTCTATCTGTTACGGTGATTTGTGATCTGTGATCTTTGATACTACTATTGTAATTGTTTTGGGGTGCCACACATTGCACCCATATCAGACAGTAAACTGGTAAATGTTGTGTGTGTTCTGAATGCTCCACTCCAATCAGCCACGTCCCCCATCTCTCCCCGTCTCCTCTGGCCATTCTATTCTTTGAGTCAGAAAAAAAATATTGAAATTAGGCCAGTGAATAACCCTACTGTGAACTCTAAGTATTCAAGTAAAAGGAAGGGTCACAGATCTCTCATTGTAAATAAAAAACTAGAAGCGACTCGGTGAGCCGAGATCGCACCACTGCACTCCAGCCTGGGCGACAGGGCAAGACTCCGTCTCAAAAAAAAAAAAAAAAAAAAAAAAAAAAAACCTAGAAATGATTAAGCTTAGTGAGTATGGTATGTCAAAAGCTCAGCCTCTTGTGCCAAACAGCCAAGTTGCAAATGCAAAGGCAAAGTTCTTAAAGGAAACGAAACGTGCTATTCCCGTGAACATATGAATGATAAGAAGCAAAACAACCTTTCTGTGATATGGAGAAAGTTTTAGTAGTGTGGATAGAAGATCAAACTAGCCACAACATTCCCTTAAGTCAAAGTCTAATTCAGAGCAAGCCCCTAACTCTCTTCAATTCTGTGAAGTTTGAGAAATATGAGGAAGCTGCAGAAAATGAGTTTGAACCTCGCAGAGGCTGGTTCGTGAAGTTTAAGGAAAGAAGCCATCACCATAACACAAAAGTGAAAGGTGAAGTAGTAAGTGCTGATGGAGAGGCTGCAGTAAGTGACCCAGAAGATCTAGTTAAGTTATCCAGAAGATCTAGTTAAGATAATTGATAAAAGTGGCTACACTAAACAACAGAATTTCATTTTAGACCAAACAGTCTTATATTGCAAGAAGATGCCATCTAGGACTTTCATAGCTACAGAGGAGAAGTCAATGCCTGGCTTTAAAGCTTCACAAGACAGGGTAACTCTCTTGTTAGGGACCAATGCAGATGGAGACTTTAGGTTAAAGTCAATGCTCATTTACCATTCTAAAAATCTTAGGGCCCTTAAGAATCACGCTAAATCTACTCTGTATGTGTTCTGTAAATGGAACAACAAAGCCTAGATGACAGCATATCTGATTACAGAATGGTTTGCTGAATATTTTAAGCCCATGCTTGAGATCTGCTGCTGAAAATCAAAGATTCCTTTCATTAATATAGCTACCCAAGACTTTTGATAATGCTTTTAGTTATCTAAGAGTTTTGACGAAGATGTACAAGGAGATTAATGTTATTTTTATGCTTGTGAACACAGCATTCCTTCCATAGCCCATGGATTGAGAAATAATTTGACTTTCAAACCTCATAATTTAAGAAATACATGTTATAAGGCTACAGTTGCCATAGATAGTGAGTCCTCTGATGAATCTGAGCAAATTAAATTGAAAACTTTCTGGAAAGAAATCAGCATTTTAGAGGTCATTAAGACTATTTGTGATTCATGGGAAGAAGTCAAAATATCAGCATTAATAGGAGTTTAGAAGAAGTGGATTCTAACCCTCATGGATGACGTTGAAAGCTTTAGTGGAGGCAAGAACCGTGGATGTGGTAGAAACAGCAAGATAATCAGAATTATAAGTGGAGCCTGAAGATGTGGCAGAATTGTTACAATCTCATGATAAAACTTGAATGGATAAGAAGTTGCTTCTCATGAGCAAAAAAAAAAAAAAAAAAAAAAAGTTTCTTGAGATGGGATCCACCCCCAGTGAAGATGCTGTGAACACTATTGAAAGGAAAACGAAAAATTCATGACAATCAACTTAGTTGATAAAACAGCAGTAGGGCTTGAGAAGATTGACTTCAATTTAAAAAAATCTGTAATACTAGGGGTGAAGTGCTGTTAAACAGCATTGCAAGCTACAGAGAAATCTTTTGTAAAAAGGAGAGTCAATCAATGCACTAAATTTCATTTTTATCTTATTTTAGGAAATTGTCACAGCTACCCAACCTTCAGCAACCACCACCCTGATCAGTCAGCAGCTGTCAACATTGAGATAAGACCCTTTGCCAGCAGAAAAGATTATGATTTGCTGAAGGCTCAGGTTTATTATTTAGCAATAAAGTGTTTTGTTTTGTTTTGTTTTGTTTTTTTGAGATGGAGTCTTGCTCTGTTGCCCAGGCTGGAGTGCAGTTTCATGATCTCGGCTCACTGCAACCTCTGATTCCCGGGTTCAAGTGATTCTCCTGCCTCAGCCTCCCAAGTAGCTGGAACTACAGGCGCCTGCCACCACACCTGCTAATTTTTGTATTTTTAGTAGAGACAAGGTGTCACCATATTGGCCAGGCTAGAACTCCTGACTTCCAGTGATCCTCCTGCCTCAGCCTTCCAAAATGCTGGGATTACAGGGATGAGTCACCATGCATGGTCAGCAATAAAATATTTTTTAATTAAGATGTGTACATTTAAGAATGGGCACGGTGGCTCACACTGTAATCCCAGCACTTTGGAAGGCTGAGATGGGAGGATCACTTGAGGTCAGGAGTTCAAGGCTAGCCCGAACAACATGGTGAAACCCCATCTCTACTAAAAAAAAAAAAAAAAAGTTTGAGGTCAGGAGTTTGAGGCTAGCCCGAACAACATGGTGAAACCCCATCTCTACTAAAAAAAAAAGTTTTTAGAAATTAGCTGAGTGTGGTGGCATGAATCTCTGTAATCTCAGCTACTTGGGAGGCTGAGGCAGAAGAATCACTTGAACCTGGAAGGTAGAGGTTGCAGTGAGCCAAGATTGCATCATTGCACTCCAGCCTGGGTGACAGACTGAGACTGAGTCTCAAAAAAATTTAAAAAATAAAATAAGATGTGTACGCTTTAGACATAATGCTATTTCATACACAGCAGACTACATCAGTGTAAACATAACTTTTATATGCACTGGAAAACCAAAAACTTCATGTGACTTGCTTTATGGCAATATTTGCTTTATTGCAGTAGTCTGTAACCAAACCCACAATATCTCAAGGTATGCTTGTATATACATTTTTATAATCTCCTATACACAATATGGAAGGATAAGAAACTGAGGCACAAACAGGTTAAATATCTGTCTTAAAGTTGGGCAACTGGTAAATGATAGAACCAGTATTTGAACTTGGCCATTATTCATTCATTTATTCACCCATTCATTTATTCATTAAACAAATAGTTATGCAGTGCCCATGGTATTATTCATTTGGCAAACTAAACTATTCTGTTGCTTAGACAAAGTGAAGGCAGACAAAGAAGGAAAACCAGAAGGGATTACCGGCTCTGAATCAAAGAAAGGCAGAAAAAGGGAAGAGTGAGAGACGAGTTTCAGTTTCAGGTGAGATACCTGAAAGGGAAAACTTTCCTAGGGGGTAGCTTTCCTCCTCCAGGGCTCCAGATTGAATGAATTCCTTGAACTCAGGAACAAGTGTCAAGACTTGTTTTATTGGTATTTACAAAAGTAGGTTTTAAAGGATCAGCGATTTGCAGATTCCAGTTGGATGTGTCACACACACATCTCTCATTCATCACATCTGAGAGAGGGGAGAAGGAAAGACACGGCTTTGAAACCCTAGATATTTTGAAAGGGGTGTTTTGGGATTTCAGAGATTTCTTTTTCTAGCAGCAACTGTATCTTGGACTGTGGTTTATCTCTCTTTCCCATCTTCCAGGAAGGTCGGTTAACCCTTTTGGGCTGTGTTCAATCAGGGTTAGTGCGTAATAAAGATCCTCTGCGTTTAGAATTACCTTCTTACCTGTAAACCTGCTTCAGGAGGCTACAAACTCTTCAAAGACAGAAGCTGCTGTATTGATTTTTCACCTGCTTCAGAGTCTAGTGAGAAACAAGGGAGAGAAGGGGAGAGAAAAAGGAGGAAGGAAGAAACAGACGCAAGGGATATCTACTTGGTACTTTACAAGGTAGTATTGATGAAATACACATAAATGGAGAGTTCTGGGTTCAAGTTCCAGTCCTGACAGTGCCTATACGTTCTTGGGTCATCACTCAGACTCTCAGAGCCTCAATTTCTTATTCTGAGAAATGGAAATAATAATGCCTACTTCACCAGATCATGAGGAGAATTAAATAAGGTAATGTATTGGGTAACATTTTGTAAATGTGTCCTACTGTGTAAATTAAAATTGTATGAAGGTTTAATAAAAGGAATTGTTCTGTAAGACTTCAAGGCGTTTCTATCAGAAGTTGAAACTAGAGGATTTACCAGGATGTTTCTGGCTTTACAGGGGTCATGTCCCTTTTCAAGATGCCTCGGTTGACCAGCAGATGCATTCCTTCCAAGGTTTAATATTAAAATAATATCAAATTCTGATCTAGTCTGGATCAGAAGAGAAAATATTCCAACCTGCAATTGTCAGCCGCAACACTGGTTGTGTTTAGTGGTGATGGAATTCTGTCACTTCCACCAACACTTTTGAGCATTTGCTGGATGCAAGGCATTCTGGTGTATACTGATAAAAAACAACAACCAAAGATAATTAAGATTGATCTCATCCTCCAAGATGTTTACAGTCTACTTTGCTTCCCTAAGCCTCCGTTTTTCCATCTGCCAAAACAGAAGCTTGGAAGAGATGTCTCCAAGACACTTTCTACCATGATCTTTTGAATTTCATAACTCTCTAATTCCAGAATTCAAAGAGTAACTGTTTTACCTCCCACCGAATGATTCTTCTGAAAAAAAAAAGCTCTCTGCTACCTAAGCTAGCCAAGACACCATACCTGAAGACAATACCTAAACTTCCGTTTGTGTCCCAGGAATCCCAAATTGATATCACATCAAAACAATGTCATTTTATACAATTCATTATATAAGTCACTCATTAACACATTTGCTTCGTTGATTTTCATTAAAATCCTGCAGGTAGCATTATTACAAACATTTTTCAAAAGCGATAACTGAGTCATAAAAGGATTAAATTATTTGCCCAGGTCATTAGCGTGGCCGGGGCATAAAACCAGATTTTCTGTTTTTAAACATAATTTTTTCTCTCCCTTCCACCCTGTAAGAGCTTTTGTTACCAAGCAATTGAGAAGCACAGGCTCAGGGACACTGGATTTGACCAAAGAAGCCTATAGAACCATTCCAAAAACCGATGGTTCCCCCTAATGCACTGGAAAGACTCAGAATGGGTTAAGTTCTCCCTGGCTCAGTCCCAACAGACATTAAATTCACCTGTGCTTGCTCTGAAATAAATCAGTGTCCCTTTCTGCTGCTGCTGTTGTCTGGAAATAATGCAAATGCAATGGGCCTTTACTGACATTGTGCTTCCCTGGAAGGATACACATAATAAACTGTCCCTTAATACTGTTAAAGAGACATTTTCCTCTTACTCAGGAGCTTTTGGGGTTGGACTGGGCTACTCATCCAGCAAGGAGGAGGACATGTGTCTTGTCACTGGCCCAGTTATTCATGTGGCCTCTCATCGCTCCTTGGCTCACTACATTGCAAGGTTCAAGGACGCATTTCCAGGCCTCCACATCAAGTCGTAGGACTTGCTGGTAACCTAGATTGGTTTTCTCCTTTGTAATTTGAATTTATTTTATGTTGTGCATTTGTATGTTTATTTATTTGGCTGCTCAGGAGCTGAAGATAACTAGTGCTCCTGGTCCGTGCCATTCATCAATTGGAAGAATGCCAAGCTGTTTTCGCAGAGGACAGAAGGCATTGGTCTCCCCTGCAGGAAGCCACTGCTGCTCCTTAATTGTTTGCTAGAGGAAGAATCAAGGGTAAAATTTAAAGTAAATGGCTGGCCGAGTTGCACTAATTCATCAAAGCATGTTTCAAGTCAGTAGTCAGAGCATGCATCAGCCCCCGGCGCCACCAGCTTCTACGAGAGTGGAAAAGCCAGCAGACCTCCAAGCAGATGAAATCATTAGGAGGCATTCAGCAGGGCTTGAAAAGCAAAGAGAGAGGAGGTGGGGATTTCTGCGTGTGTTCCCTTTGCCACATGGGAAACGCCAGCTGTCTGTGACCTAGTTATCCAAGAAAGGAAACACGGAAGAGAACCCACAAAACTGTTTGCTACGTGAGAACCCCATTCTCCAAAGACACACTGGGTGTTGAGAAAACAATTAGCATCTTCTAGTTTGACTCTATTTTTTTTTCTTTGCTTAGAGATTTTTGGTAGTGATAAAGACAAACCCAATTACAGTAGCTTAAGAAAATGGAATTTTTAGGGATAGACCATGGATAGGAAGTAAAATCCTCGTTCGTGAAAGATGGGAAGTGGGAACTGGAATGTTTTCAGAAAATCTGTCAGCATCTCACCTCTTTCTCTTGCTCTCTTTCTCTCTCTCTCTTTCTCTCTCACACACACACATACACTCTCTCTCTCTCTCTCTCTCTCTCTCTCTCTCATTACATGGTCCTTTATCTGTACAACATTTGATTTTCCTACTTCTTTATGAAGGTCTCTCTTCTTGCTTTTAAGCAAGAAGTCACTCATTCATTCAGTAAATACTTACTTAATGCTACCACGTGCTGGCACTGCTCAAGATGCCAGGGCTACAGCAATCCAGAAAACAGACAAAATGCCTGCCCTTGTGGAATGTACACTGTGGTGAGGCAGGCGGAAACTGCAGATAAATAAGTAAAAGATACAGTGTGTGATGGGGCAATGAGTATTTGGAAGAAAAGATCAAGGGAGGGGAAGTGAAATGCTGGCAAAGTAGTTGAAATCTTAAATAGAATGGTCATGGGATACCCCACTGAGAAAATCATTTCTGAGTGAAACCTGAAGGAAGTAAGAAGTTAGCACTGCAATTGTCTGGGGCGGAGCATGCTGGGGAGAGGGAATAGCAGGTGCAAAGGGCCTGGGGTGGTTCAAGGAGCCAGCAGAGAGACCATTGAGGAAGGAGGTTAAGCAAGTGAGGGGGACTAGTTAGAAGTGAAGTCATAGACCTGGGGGCACAGATCACAAAGGGCTTTCTAGGTCATAGTGAGGACTTTGGCTTTTACTCTGAGTGAGATCAGAAGATCCCAAAAGACTGCCACAAGCTGATAACTACGTGGCCCACCTAATCCAGTGGTTAGTCCTTATTGCTAACTTGCACACAGTCAAACTCTCTTAGTCTCCAAAAGAGGAGATCTAAGCAACGATAC